CAGCTGGGATCAGCGGCCGGTGTGGTGATGAGCAGGTGTGTGGGCCAGCAGCGGGAGCCCGCAGTGAGCATCGCAGTGGCGAGAGAGAGAGAGAGTGAGAGAGAGGGCGAGAGCGAGAGAGCAAACAAACCACAAACATATTGCCCAATAGAGGATTGACCAGCGGGGCACAGGGACCATGACAGATATAGAGAAGATATAAAACAAAGTTCTAAGCTAATCAACCTTAGTGTTCTCCTTTTTTAAAAAGAATTGATAAAAGAATCGATAAAGAATCGAATCGTTAAAGAGTTGAAAATGGAATCGGAATCGTGAAAATCTTATCAATACCCATCCCTACCCGTGACCATTATTTGTATTTTTTCGCAATGTAGTCAGGGTGACAAAAAGCCAGAGCTCTGTCTAGCCAAATATTCTGTCATGTGTTGCTATGCTGAAGCCAGGTTTTGGCATCAACGTGCAAGATACAGGAGACAGGACGTGAAAGCCTTTAACTTTTATTATTTGTAACCTACAAGGAAGAGAGATAAACAGAGAGCCAGGTCAGAACTGAACCAGGACACGTAAAGCAGAGGACTACACAGGAGAAGCATGAGGGATGATGCAACAAGCAATACAGAGGGTTTAAATACAAAAAAGCAAATGGGCAAAGTGGAGACACCTGAAGAGCACAGCTGAACTGAATCTGACTAAATAGACAGGGGAAGCAAAACTGAACATAGTGTACTTTCAATTCATTTTTTTTTGTCACATTCACAGTATAACATGCAGCGAAATGCTTGCGTCTGAGCTGCGCACAGGCTGCAGACATCGCTCCAAAGGTGTGTGTAGCTTTACCACTATACCAACACAACAAGAGACAAGGAACTATCAAAATAAAACAGGAACTAACTGAGCAGGCAACAGATTCATATATAAACTAGACATAGCAACAGAAACACAGATTTGACATAGAAACAGAAAGGTAAACACTGAAACAAGACTGACTGACTGAGGACTAAACACAGACAAGACAAGGGCACAGGAGAAAAGGGAGGCAAAAATTCAAGGGACTCAAAACATAAACTGAATATACTTGACCTAAAACTAAAACTAACATTTTTAATTAAGAGTTTAGACAAAAAAACAAAAAAAAACAGGACTATGACAGAATTACTAAATGGTAAATGGCCTGTATTTATATAGCGTTTTACTAGTCCCTAAGGACCCCAAAGTGCTTTACATATCCAGTCATCCACCCATTCACACACTGGTGATGGCAAGCTACATTGTAGCCACAGCCACCCTGGGGCGCACTGACAGAGGCGAGGCTGCCGGACACTGGCGCCACCAGGCCCTCTGACCACCACCCAGTAGGCAACGGGTGAAGTGTCTTGCCCAAGGACACAACGACCGAGACTAGAAATATTATGATAAACAAAATTAGAAAGTCTTCACAGAACAAATCCCCAAATAAGTTCACTAAACACAAAACGCTGGGTCAATGACCTGGGAACTATGGCATAAACAAACATTAGCTCAAAACTATCACACTATCAAACATAAAGCGCTAGGGATTAAGCACCTTCTCTAACTTGTATTCACAATTAAAACCGAGTTAGAATTACGAATTAATCTAGCAAGCATGACTTTGGACTGCGAGAGGAAGCCAGAGTACCTGAAGGAAAGCCACTAAAAACTTTGTTGCTAGTAGTATCTAGACTCTCCAGTGTTGCTTACACACCTCAATATAGTATGTGACAGAACACTAATTACTTGTTAGGTTTCTTTCTTCTTCTGACATTATACACATCAGTAACCATGTTTCTCTTTTCAGCATACTTGGTTGCCCAATTGTGAAGAAAAGGAAGCTGGAGGAGGCTGAGGCCGGGGAGAACCAGTCCGCTCCCAAGAGAAAGAATCAGTCTGCTAAACAGGCAGCAGATGGAGGGTTGACTGCAGACAGTGACACAGCAGAAGAGGAAGAGGAGGAGCAGAAAGAGAATGAAGGGGATGAAGAAAACAAGGACAAGAAGGCCAAAACAACAAGCAGGCCAGAGTCAATAAAAAGTGAGTAAATCCAAACTAGAGCAGTTGCCTCCTTACCCGCCAAGCAAAACTGGCTCCTGTATACATAGTTATTTTAAGTATGTACAGTCAGGGAAAACAATTATTTGAACCCCTGCTGATTTTGTAACTTTTCCCACTACCAAAGAAATGGTCAGTCTATAATTTCAATGGCAGGTTTATTTGAACAATGAGAGACTTTACTTTATTGATTTATATAGTACTCTTCACACGATAAAAACCACAAAGTGCTTCACAATAATATAAAACAGATAAACATAAAACAGTACAATCAAATATACAGCACAAATCTAATTAAAAACTAGTCTAAAGATGGAGGGAGAGAATTCCACAACCTTGGGGCCACCGCTCTGGTTTTAAAACGTGTTCGGGGGACTACCAACAGCCTTTGAAATCAATAAAGTAAAGTAAAGTAAAGTAAAGTAAAGTAAAGTAAAGTAAAGTAAGAGACAGAACAATAACCAAAAAATCCAGAAAAATGGATTTGAAAAAAGTAACAAGTTAATTTGCATCTTCATGAAGGAAATAAATATTTGATCCCTTTGCAAAACGTGGTTTAGTACTTTGTAGCAAAATCTTTTTTGGTAACTGGAGAAGTCAGACGTGTCTTGTAGCTGGCCACAAGTTTTGCACACATCTCAGGGGGGATTTTGTCCCACTCCTCTTTGCAGATCCTCTCCAAGTCATTAATGTTTCATGGCTGATGTTTGGCAACTCTAACCTTCAGCTCCCTCCACAGATTTTCTGTGGGATTGGAGACTGACTAGGCCACTCCAAGACCTTAATATGCTTCGTCTTGAGCCAATCCTTTGTTGCCTTGGTCGTGTGTTTTGGATCATTGTCATGCTGGAATACTCACCCACGACCCATTTTCAATACCCTGGCTAAAGGAAGGTGGTTCTCACCCAAGATTTGATGGTACATGGCCCCATCCATCCTCCCTTTGATGTGATACAGTTGTTCTGTCCCCTTGGCAGAAAAACACCCTCAAAGCATGTTTCTACCTCCATGTTTGACGGTGGGGATAATATTCTTGGAGTCATTGACAGCATTCTTCCTCCTCCAAACATGGCAAGTTGAGTTGATGCCAAATAGCTCGGTTTTGGTCTCATTTGACCACAACACCTTCACCAAGTCCTCTTTTGAAACATTGAGATGTTTGGTGACAAACTTCAAAGTTTGAGTAGTTCTGGCCTGATTCCTCACCGTTCTTATTCTCATAAACTCCACGAGGTGAGATCTTGTGTGGAGCTCCAGACCGAGTGAGACTGGAAGTTATTTTATCATTCTCCCATATGCGAATAATTGCGCCAACTGTTGTCACCTTCTCACCCAACTGCTTGGCAATGGTCTTGTAGTCCATTCCAGCCTTGTGTAGGTCCACAATCTTGTCCTTGACATCCATGGAAAACTCTGGTCTTGGCCATGGTGCAGAGTTTGGAATCTGGATCGATTGATTGCTTCTATGGACAGCTGTCTTTTATACAGGTAACGAGCTGAAAAGGCTCCAAATGTCAGCTTGTTACCCGTATAAAATATAAATGGGAGCCAGAAATCTTGCAGATTGATGGGGATCAAATACTTATTTTCTAGTCAAAAGTTTGGACACACCTTCTCATTGAATGGTTTTTCAGATCTTTTATTGTTGTAATTTGTTATGGAATAATAAACTGTAAAGCCTCTGAAAATGGAGGGGCTGTGCATAAAAGTTCCTAAACAGATAGCGCAAGACCTTTGTTAAAATCAATCTTGTTTGTGGTGTACAGACACAAAATTACAATTTCTGTCACTGTCAACTCTGATGTTACTCTGATGTGGGTGAAGTAGATCTTAAAATGTAATGCCTACTTACCTAAAAGTAACATTGTAGACTTTGAAAAATATTGATAAAGGTACATGTAGTTGTAATTCCTTACTTCAACCTGAAACTGATCCGAGTTTCCATTTTGTAGTTGAAATATAGACACATTAAAGCATATGTAATCCAGTGTCACAGAAATGAGCTTTGTATAAAAACAAGGACATTAAAAAACATCATCAGTATTTCAGTGACTGTGACGAACAGAACCGTTTCAAGATAGCGGAGAGTTTGGCATGAGTGTAGACCAAAGCCAACTTCCTGAACAGTTGACTTTGGTCTACAGTTTGGTTTGCATGCTTCACTTCACTCTTGCTAAACAAATCACATCAAGTCACCTGCAAGATCAGTCACAATGCTTGTTTTTGTGAGATGACACAGAAAAAACAATCTGTGGCAATGACATTTATCTGTACTTTGAACTCCACAGCAGAGGCCTCACAGGTGACAAAAGTAACAGCAGTGTGTCCTTCAGCTGACCTTGACAAACACATCAGTGCAAAGGCTGAGAACAAAACTGTGAGTGAGAAAGTTGGTGAGGAAGTAAAACCTGCTGATGACCTTCAGCAGGAGGAAACAGAGACAAAGGATGTGAAGGATGCTTGTCTGATGACAAAGAATCAGCCATCTGCGGAACCCGCAGAGCTAACAGGCATTCCTGATCTAAAAGAAACAAAGGAGGCGGAAGAAGCAGAAGAACAGGAAGAAAATGGACAGCAAAAAAGTCCTGAGAATATTGTAGAAGAGAGGGTAATAGAAAGACAAGTGATAAGCCAGAAAAACTCAGATCATCAATATTCAAGTGGTGATTACGGCCATCTGGCCAAAGAGTCAAAGCAGCATAAGAGGGAAGCTGATGAAGAAGAGGTCGAAGAAGAGGAAGAAGAGGAAGAAGAGGAAGAAGAGGAGGATGGAACAGACAGGGAGGTCCTCCAAGAGGTTGACACTCCTTACACTTTGAGTCCACGCACTCAGGGATCTGAAACTGAGGTGTCACTCAGGGAAGAAAAGATCTGTACTCCCATGACTGAGGAAGAAGAGGATGAAGAACAGGAAGGGGAGAGAGAGGGGGAGGATCACAGACAAGAGAAGGAAGACAGTGAGATCCTGGGGGAGGAAGAGGAGGACCAAGACTCCAGTAAAGCCTCTCCAACAACATTGGTTATAGAGGTCCGCTCTGAGGAGGATGATGATGATGATGATGATGATGAAGATGAAGAGGAGGAAGAGGAGGAGGAGGAGGAAGAAGAGGAAGGAGAGGAGCAGGATCGTGTCTCAGAGGGCTCGGGAATAACAGACGACTCAGAGAACTGGGATATGACTCGGGGGAACCTGGGGCTGCTGGAGCAGGCTATTGCTCTGAAGGCGGAGGAAGTGAAGGAAGGCCAGGAGAGCCGGAGCTCCCTGGACTACCAACCATACACATCATCCAGCAAGAGCTCAGAGGCTGCTGCTGTAGCCCGCCGCACCACTCACTACAGCAAAGGTAAGAAACAGCAAAGTCAAATGTGAACGTGTTTGCATAGAAAGTAGGTGATCACTATCTAAATAAAATTCCAGAAAAAAAGGAAGTCAAGTGTCCAACGCCAGGGTGTGATGGGACGGGTCATGTGACTGGGCTGTATCCCCATCATCGTAGTCTGTCTGGATGTCCTCACAAAGACAGAATCCCTCCAGAGAGTAAGTATAGCTTACCATTAACTTCATTGACCAACATTCAAATGTGTGCACTTTGAATTATCACCATGATTAATAAATACTGACCAATAATGCTAACACACAAACCTGTTTCTAAAAAAGTGTCCCTAATATTGTAGGGTGTTTACCTTGCGATTTAAAGTGCCTTAAGGTGATTGGTGCTATGTGACTGGCCAACACTGAATTGACTAGATAATAAAATCACCAAATTCTAGGTAGAATCCTGCAAATTTATATTTAGTAATGTTATTTCGGAATACAATATCATCATAGGTTTTCACAGATGGGTGAATCCCTATCTTTACTTTTGGGGTGCTTTTTTTCCCTTGACCTGTATGTTTGTTTATTAGTTGTGAGGTGTTCCACAGCATTAGACGTCACATCCTCAGCATATTAAGTCAACTATTTTACATAGGCTTTTAACTTTTTTGGAATTCAGGTTGTAATTATTATTATTAACTCTACCAGCTTTACCATTACTCTTACTTCCACTACTGCTGTAAATTCTGTATCTTTGCCACTTGTCCTTTTCTAGCTCATACAGGTGTACACGTACATTACTACTGTTACTGCTGTGAAACCACCTAATGCAAGATAAATGCACTGACCTGAGTTTGCACTTGCTGTGTGTCTGTAGTCCTGGCCATGCATGAGAACGTCTTGAAGTGTCCTACTCCTGGCTGCACAGGCCAAGGCCATGTTAACAGCAACCGCAACACACATCGCAGGTTAATAAAGCACTCGATACACTCTGAACACTTTTTACAACAGCATATGAAACAGAAATTGACTGTCACTACTTCATAGAAAAGAACTTGTAAAAAGAGGCTTGTATTCTGATGGGGTTTTTTAATAGTTTAGTGTTAAAGATCCTAGATCTGATTGCACACACACACACACACACACACACACACACACACACACACACACACACACACACACACACACACACACACATTTGCAAAATAATACTGCATAACATTTCATTGTACTCACATCTGCTTACACTGCTTTCCCAGCAATTCAGTGAGTTTCTATTGATGAGCATTTTATTTCTTTAAATGCAATATCATTGGCATGCCTCCCCATCAGTCTGTCCGGCTGCCCCATTGCCGCAGCTGCTAAGCTGAACAAGAACCAGGACAAACAGGTTCATTTACAGGCTTCAGCCAGTGAACCCTCTTCCAATTCTGACAGAGTGCTCAGGTGAGACATGCAAGAAAAATTTTCAACTAATTGATTCATACAATGTTAAAGTATCAGTACCTAAATCAGGGCTCTTTTTTTAGGCCCATGTGTTTTGTCAAACAGCTGGAGATCCCTCAGTATGGCAGCTACCGGCCCAACACGGTGACCACTACACCTCGAGCAAACCTGGCCAAGGAGCTGGAGAAATACTCCAAGGTGTCTTTTGACTATGCAAGCTTTGATGGTCAGGTTTTTGGAAAGCGTACGCTCATTCCAAAGACACCTAGCACTGCTGAAACATCACCCAAAGCCTTCAAAAGTAAGACACAATTTCACTTTGCTTTTATTTCTTAACAACTTAGGCTTTTTATAACCAATCCAATCTAACTTTATTTATATAGCACTTTAAAAACAACAAAGTTGACCAAAGTGCTTTCCAATAATAAAACAGAGACAGCAGTTAAAAAACATACATTAAGCAGACAAAGAAATAAATATAAATAACAATAAAATAAATACATAAATGAAAAAGAAGATAAAAATAAATCAGTATATATATTAAATATTAAAACATGAGTAAAATAGACAATAAGATATACAATGAATAAGATTAACAAAATAAAAAGATTAAGAGTGACCAACAGCTGACTAAAACTGACTACAAGCTGACTCTGGTACAACTCCTAAAAAGCCTTTGAAAAAAAGTGTATTTTTAAAAGTGATTTAAACATTTCAAGTGTTGGGGCCAGCCTAATATGGAGGGGCAGTTTATTCCATATTTTGGGTCCCCCCAGTGTTTCAGTCTCGGCATGGGGACAGCAAGGAGTGACTGGTCAGTTGATCTGGGAGACCTTTGTGGACTGTATTGGTGTAGAAGGTTTGACAGGTAAGAAGGAGCCAGGACATTTAAAACTTTAAAAGCAAACAATAAAATTTTTAAATGAATTCTAAAATGGACAGGCAACCAAGTGTAAAGAGGCAAGAACAGGGGTAATGTGCTCACGTTTGCATGTCCCTGTCAACAGACAAGCTGCAGCATTCTGGACCATTTGCAAGCGTGATAGTGAAGCCTGATCAACACCAATATAAAGTCCATTACAATAATCAAGCCGAGTGGTCACAAATGCATGTAAAACTCTCTCCTAGTCACAAAAAGAAATAAAAGGTTTTACTTTAGAGAGCTGCCTCAGCTGAAAAAAGCTTTTTCTCACCACTGCATTTACCTAATTGTCCATTTTAAGAGCTGTGTCAATTTTTACTCCAAGGTATCGTTATGGTTTTAACATAAACTCTCTATGGCACTGTTTGTGAACCGCATTCCCTCTGTGCAAATTGTTATTTGTTTGGTATCTTCTGATCAATTGCAGTGTTATAATACATCCATATTACAAGTAGATGAAGGCTTAAATGAGATATTTCAAATGACAAAGGCAATATTTATCTCCTTTAAAGATACCAAAGAAAAAAACTTGGTGAATCTGATAAGCATTAAGCACTTTCTTTCACTGTCTTATTCTTAAATATATTTTAGAACCAAGCACTCCTGCAATCTCCAAACAATTTAAACACAGAATAATACAAAAAGAAAAAGATTATGTAGTTAAGGCTGGAAATGATGACCCAAATTAAGGATGCATGATGGACCGAGCAGTGAAGGAAAGTCAGGTACAGGTTAACGTCCAAAAAAGTTTTTTTATTCAACCCCAAAACAAACTCGGTTAAACTACACAGAAAAATCTAAATATTGGGCCCATAAAAGAGGTCAAAGTAACAAAACTACACAAGCACTACAACAACTGAAACAAACTGACTTACCTAAACAGACAAGTGGAAACTTAAATAGTGGCTGATCAGCCCACAAAAACAAAAAAAGGGATAAAACACACAATAACC